AGTCTTTAGCTAACAGTCAAGACTTGGGTTAACATAACAAGACCAAAGACAAAACCTGGACAGTCAGTAGCTGGGTCAGCCTTTAAGCCAGTCATGGAGCAGGCATGTTCCTGGTCATTGCATGTCTCAAGTTCAGGGAGAGGCAATATAGGTTCTTTAGTGGCTCTCTTATGCCACAGTCAGCTTGCTGCCCATATGATGATGTCTCCACTCTATGTTATCAAAATGTAAATGAGTTCATTGTCTTGTTCACTGGAAGTTTCTTGAGCTCAATATTATTTCTTTTTCATAGCCAGCTTTACAGGATGGAAAAGATCAAACTAGTGTCTCAAAAATGATTTAAACTCTACAAATTAGCAGGTGCGTTTCCTCACACCAGCTGCATCTACATACTTCTGCCAAAGTCTGCTTGTCTTATCTTTGTCAGGCTATGAGTTAATTTCCTTTGTTTTACATATTCTCTCTTGCCCAGACAAAAATCTTTGGTCAAGGAGTTATTATCCAACATCAAAGCATTCTTTCTGTTGCTAGCATCTCTTTGATTCTGACTTGAGGAAGAATATATGCATACTACAGGCAGATGGCAGCGCACTTATGGTGCACTGTATGAATTCTGTGAATCTAGAGTAAAACATGCATAAAAAGCATGTATTCAGTGTGTGTTTCAAAAAGCACAAATGGCAGTATCCATAAGGTATGAGCAACTCCCAAAATAGCAATGCAACACTTGCACCACCAACAGATGTATTTCAAAAACAATCCCATTTTCTTCTCTGCAAGTGTGGCCTCAATATTGCAAACACCACTCGTGTGCAAGCAAAATAAATGCAAAATAAGTCAATATTTTTGGTGAATGCTTTTAAGTGTGGGACTAACACTCTCATTTGCAGAAGGTTTGAGCCTGAGTTTGAGCGTAAATGTCATGACTTGCATTCTGACTGTAATTTGAGTCAGTCATTTTTTCTCTGTCCAGGAAAGTTCACAGAAAGAGACAAATGGCTCATATCTGTGCTCAATTTCTACAGGTAATATGAATGCAAATGGGTCAAGACACCTGGTTCTTCAGCCTCGAGGCTGAGCAGACTGAGAGAAGGAACAAGAGAAAGGGACTGAAATCTTCTGTCCACAAACTGAGCAAAGAACATGCATCAGACAAACACTCTGGTCTAGTGGGAGGTGTCCCTGCCCAGGGCAGGGGGTTGGGACTAGGTGATCTCTAAGGTCCATTACAAACCCTTAACATACTATGAAATACTATGAAATTCTCCATAAAAGATCAATCTAATGTGCAGCGTCATACATGACTGGAGTCCACAAGACAGTAAAAACCAAAGATAAAACCGAATAGAAACAAACACATTGGAGAAATAGATTATAAAATTAACAGCCATGTGACATTAATCTTTTCTTGTTTTAATATTGTTGTCATGTGTTTTCACTTAAATGTTTTGTGCCATTTATAAGTTCAATAACTTTAATCACCATCACAAAAGAAAAACTCTTATAATGTGGGACTGATTCTGGTCCTGACAAGAAATAAATTTGAAGGCACAGAAAAACTCATCAGAATTTGACATTACCTTATTTTGATCATTCATGTGAGGAATACAAGAGATTCCCAAAACATAATACGGTTTTACCCCTTCATTTATATTTTGGTATATGCTTTTTGTATCTGATGGTACAGCTATGCTTTACAGGAGCAATCTGCTAAAAAAAATTGACACATTCAATATACAAGTCTTTCACTAGAGTGGTAATGGGAAAAAAAATCAACCTAAGATTTAAAATGGCATACATTTGACAAGGGCATTTGTAAGATTTTCATACAGTGAACTATCTATAAGCTCCAACCCCTTACTCACTTTTCAATAACACAATCTGCCCTCCTCTCATTGCTACCAATTCCAATGAGAATTTTGCCCAGGTGGAAAAGGATATAACTAAGCTCTAACAGTAAAAATCTGTATATCTTGCAAATCTGTCTGACCCTTCTGTCCTAACTCATCCTATTCTCACTTGTAGCACCAACAAATTGTTCCCAATATGATTTTGGCAAACATGAAAAATGAATTATTAGGATCACAGTATGTAGGTGGCTCCTATTCTTCACTTTCTATCTGACTGTTCAAGTGAGTTTTTTGTCTACATTTTATATTATTTATCACTACTATCCCATCCAAATGGGTCCTCACACTGTAAATGATCCAGTGGAAAGCGTTGGCAAAGTAAATCCAGAACATTGTTATAATTATGTCCTTAGTGAACTTGTGGCAACTTTGAATGTGAGAACACAACAAGACTAAAAATAAGTGTTACAAAAAACGGTTAGTGTGGTCATATCAAGAAATGAGCACAATGTAAAAACAGAACAACAATAATGAGCTTCACCAGACTGTGATGCTGGAAGGAAATCTAAAAGAAGGCTAAGCACAAAAGTAACATTCACTTAAAAGGACATAGTAAGGCAAAGACAAATTCCATCACTAAATAGAAACTTGAGTCTTTGCACTCATTTTCCTATCTGCAGAAAATCTTGGCAAGGCAAGAAAGATGAATGAAAAACACCACACAAATACATCTTAGAATAAAAAGAACATTTAAAATTAACATCACCCACTTATTAATGATACTCCGATCCAGTTTGGCTCATGTATCCTACACTGACTTCAATTATGCTACACAAATAACATGAAACAATTGCAGCTTATGAATACCTGAGAAGTACAGATGGCTGCAATCCTTTGAGTTTTCTTGGAAAGGCAAGAAAAAAAAAACATTAATGAATGGCTTTCAAAGATAACGCCATTGACATCTTGCAGACAACTGTTGCTGCTAACTCCAATAAAATCTCTGTAGTGCTCTGCTTGTTTTCAATAGAATCCTCAAAGGATGATAATATGTATATATATATACATGTAGAGTACGTATGGACATAGAAAACCAAGACAATA